AACGAACCCGTCCTGGCGTTCTCAATCATCTATGTCATACTCATAGCTTAATTAGCTCAATTTGCTCACGAATATCAGCAATCCATTAATTACGTACTTGCTTTTATGTCCGGTATCTGATGTTATGTAGGCATATCAATCCAATTTTTTTCATTTATGTGAAATTATATTTTTTGTTATTTTATCCTTTAATCAACATATATAGTCATCAAACAAAAGGTCTCAATCTCATTCATCTTTAATTAATTTGCATTCAATAACGCCTAACTTAATTTTATTACTATATTTTAATCTCTCAAATACAAAAACTCTATTTAGAAAGTCCAAGTAAATTACTATTCCTATCAACTTTTAAGATATTTGCAAACTCTCAATATATTTTTTTTCATGTTTTTTTCTGTTTATTTAATTCCTCTTGTTGCTTGGTTTACTTTTTGTTTGCCTTTTTTTGGTGTGTGTAAAGAACTCGAATCTATTCCAATATTTGGGCACCAAATCTTTGTCATCCCATTAACACGAACTTTTAAACATTGATCATATGTATGATATATCTACGCACTTACATAAATGCTGCGGGACTCAAATATGGTGTCATATATAAAAGGAAAGCATGAATAAAGTTAACTTGTGGCAAGATTCGGTATTAAATTTTACACTAAATCGATTTTGATCGTGTAGTTAATTGTCATATTATAAAAAGTAAAGATCTAGCGGTAAAAATTCAGTTCACCCGACGAACCAACTTCCAAGTAGTAGTCCAAATCATAGATAGATTCTTTTGAGGTTTTAAATGTACCCTCACGTTAGAATCTACTTAACTCTTTCCCCTTTTTCTGTCTCTCTTTCACCTTTTCTTCTCCATCGATCTTACCTCCACGGAACTTCTTATTTAAATCAAAAAGTTTTAGAATCTTTTAATCTCACGACTCACGCAGACAAATGTCTCGTAAATTAATCTATAGAAACAGAGCTCTCTGTTTTGTATTAATCTTGTTCTCTTTCCCTTACCGGTTTGCCGCTAGAAACCTGCGGGAGGCGGAAGAATCCACAGCAAAAGCAACTCAAATAATCCACGTCAGCAATTCCACGTGGCATGATTTCTCTCGTCTTGTAGATGTCCAGATAGGTAGCCACGTAAACGGCGTATCAGAGCTCAAAAGATACCTCCACCGATTCGGTTACGTCAATGATGGCTCCGAAAGTTTCTCCGACGTGTTCGATGGTCCGCTCGAATCGGCAATCTCTCTGTACCAAGAAAATCTCGGTTTACCGATAACCGGAAGACTCGACACGAGTACCGTCAGTCTCATGTCGTTACCGCGATGTGGCGTTAGCGATACGCACATGATCATCAACAACGGTGTCATCCACACAACGGCGCATTATACGTATTTTAACGGTAAACCGAAATGGAACCGTGACACGCTAACCTACGCTATCTCGAAAACACACAAACTCGATTACTTGACGTCAGAAGACGTCAAAACCGTTTTCCGGCGAGCTTTTTCGCAGTGGTCAAGCGTGATTCCGGTGAGTTTCGAGGAAGTTGATGATTTCTCGGCGGCGGATTTAAAGATCGGGTTCTACGCAGGTGATCACGGTGACGGGCTTCCGTTTGACGGAGTTCTCGGGACTTTAGCACACGCTTTTGCGCCGGAGAACGGGAGGCTTCACCTCGACGCGGCGGAGACATGGGTCGTCGATGATGACTTTAAAGGATCTTCCGAGGTGGCCGTTGACTTGGAGTCTGTGGCGACTCATGAGATTGGTCACTTGTTGGGATTAGGACATAGCTCGCAGGAGTCGGCGGTTATGTACCCGAGTCTCCGGCCAAGGACCAAGAAAGTTGACCTTACCGTTGATGACGTCGCAGGTGTACTTAAGTTATATGGTCCGAATCCTAAACTACGGTTGGATTCACTGACGCAGTCGGAAGATTCTATTAAAAACGGCACCGTATCACGAAGATTCTTGTCGGGGAATTTTATCGGTTATGTTCTGTTGGTTGTTTTGATTCTGTTCCTATAGGGTTTATAGAACAAAAATACTGTTTTTATTCCTTTATTTATAATTAAATGTACATACATAATTAAGCTTATTAAAGGTCTAGGGGGAAAAGGATATTTTTATGGTCTTGATGATGAAGGGATTATTATTCTTTGATTAATTACTTTGAGTTTGTGTATTTCATTATCTCAAAAATTGAAAGATATTGATGTTTATGGAACAATACATGATTGTCCCCACCCCTAAAGACACTAATTCATTGGTGATTGATGACTTTGTCCAAGTAAATACTGTAAATTGTTTTCAATCTAGACTAGATTGATGAAAAGAACACATAGATTTAAATAAAATATCTCATATACTTTCTTAAAATCATATCTTCATTTGTTTTTCCTAGTAACCTTTTCTCCAAATTTACAAGCTACAATATCTAGTTTATTTTCAGACAAAAATAATACCATTACTAAAAAATCATTAAACAGAATATGTACAAAGTGTACAAACTTTTTTTTTAAAAAATCAAGTGTTTGTATCATTGATTCATTCATGGGTGACTTACACTTTGCCATACATTCTGTGAGTTTTGTATCAAAAGAGACACTTTTCAAGTTTTTCAAGTTTTTTCAACTGTACAACAATATTCAATACCACTTTGCCCCTGCACGTGGCATTACTCGTGAAGGATACTGATTGTATGGGAAATATTTAGTTGGCTTTACCTAGTTAGAGTGCATATATCTTTATTCATCCAAACATATTCACGTCACTTCTCTTTCCCTCATTCTTTTTTTTTTTTTTTTTTCCTTTCTCATTTTATTCTTATTATCATTTTAGTTACTTAATATGACATATATTATTTATTTTTATATATAATAAATTAAGATTTAATTTTCCCTACATTTTAAGATCCATTGTCGCTATATTAAAAGTGAATAATTATATTACATATTATCCATTTCTAATTGAACATTTGTTTATAACTAAATGGATATTCAAAGGTACTTGAACAAATATACTACACCAAAATTTATAACTACTGATCATCCAAACATATCTGTTAAACTCTGACCACATGGACGAATAAAGATAAGGTTTTTCGGTGTAATATACATCTGCCAAACTTTGATCGAGTGTTTGTTGTAACAACACCAATCACGTCGTGGTGTGTAAGTAACTTCGTTTAAATGAATAACACTAAACCCTAACATCTACCTTATAAATCCAGACCGATATGCTATTTTAAAAAAATTTATAACACTAAACCCTAACTCCTACCTTATAAACCCAAACTAATATGTAAATTTGTTTAAATTTATAACACTAAACTCTAACTCCCTTCCCTAAAACCATCACCCATAAACCCTAAAACACTTAACTAAAACCTAAACACTAAAGACTTAACCATTAACATAATCTATCCACATGGAAGTGACCATAAGAGTAGGGAAATATTCAGTCAAATTAACACTAAAATAGGACATAAAAAACTGTCCATATGAAACTTACGATGGGAGTAAGTTCCCACTACCATTCTTGTTCTATGTGTTCGAAAAAAAAAAAAAGTGATTGGTACCACTTGGTCTATGAAAATGACATTTACTTCGAACTTATTGTTGTCGTCCACAAAACCATGTAAATATTTGACCAAAATTTAAAATAACGATTATACAATTATTATCTTTCAAATACCAACACCATAATTGCTTCCGTCTCTTAGTTCTCAACTCAAGAAAAAAAAAAGATAATTGTCGAACTAAAGCACTGCTTACCAAGGAAGTAGTTGAAACCGCCACAAGAATTGGTATAGATGGATGTGTGAACATGTGGATGTGGTGCTATGACCATTTTAGGAGACGTGGTGCTATGGCCGCGATCATGTGAACATGTGGATGTGGTGCTATGACCACAAAAGATTTTCTCCTAAGCCACAAAGACTATAAACACACACACAACTACTTGAGTCTGTGAGGAGGTAGCAAAGAAATCAACAGATTGCGGACGAGAGGATAAACCGAGAGCAACGAAAACGGCGACGGAGAGGATAAAGAAGTTCATCGTCTTTTTCCTCAGTCACTGTGTTACTACGTAGCGTCCATCTTTAGCTAACCATTCGTTCACTACCATCATTATAATTTTTAAGTTCAGTTCCTCTTCTTCTATAAGTTCAGTTCCTCTTCTCCATTTTAGATACTCTTTGATATGAAATTTGGAATCTGTTGTCGTTATGATTTGTAGACTAATAGTGAAGAAGCAAATTGAAAGTAGCACACTGCTCTTTATGGCCAATAATTTTTCAAGCGACGTGCCTAAAGAAAAACAATTTCTAAAACAAACAGAGTGATTTGTAACATTGAGAACGAGAAGACAAAATGGATCAGAAAGGTTTTATCATTATCAATGAAGATAGATTCATAGAAAGAAATGAAAATTCGAGTACAAGCTGATCCATCACCTTGTGTAAGAAAGAAATGAAAATTCGACTTTTCAAATCGAATTGTCCCATATATTTATGGTGTAATATATAACATGTTTTGTAATACCAATTCTGCGTTAAAAAATTGGTTTTAAAACCGCCACAATTTTGTACATTAAAACCCACGACACAAACTTCCACACTCTGCGTTAAAAAAAAACAACTTCTACTCTTTTTGCCTGTTATATCTATCTATTAGTTCATATCCATTTAATAAAATTGACTCCAATTATTTTAGCCATCCATTTGTTCAGGGCTCACAATGCAACCACGAACAGACTTTCGTCTCCTCTCTCCAGTTAACTATTGTAGCAGGCTTGTCCCATAAGAAAAGATTATATCAAACTCTCTCGGATAAAAACCAAAATCCAGTGGAAGAGACTAGTAAAATGGTTGCACCACTCCTTTTCCATAAAAATACACATGAATTTTGTCATCCTTTTACAATCACACACCTGATTTTTGTTTTATTTTTACAGGCCAATATTATTGAATGTACAAAATATATGAACATTTCGAAGAGAACAATTGTTCACAATGTGATTGATGTTATGGTTTCTAATGAACATAATTCAGACATGGAGAAAACTATAATAAAAAAGACAAGATCAAGATAAAAACAATTAATCTAAACCCAATTCATCAAATTATCGTTCAAGCCGACGGCCAAGACGTCGGTGTTAATGTGCTGGAGAGGCTTGAACAAAACACCGGGGAGAAGATTCGCCATCTCCATAGCGCATCCAACATCAATCTTGTAGTTTGTTCATGAAACTCAGCTTTTTCGTAATCTCTCATAATCAAAATGAAAAGAGATTCTTTAGAAACGATTCCTTCATCTTTCATGTGACGATAACCCTTTTGAGAATCGGTTCATGAGAACCCAGCCTTTTGATTCTTCATTGCCTGAAGTTTCTTCCTCGGAGATGTTTTTCCTAACGACATATTCGCAACAAACAAAAGCGTCATTATCCATTATTGATTATCCAATAGGTATAGTTCATGGGTTGACCTTGTACTCTATCGATAACATCAAAGTAGTAAACTTCAGACAAATTATGTGAATAATGGATGAACATTATCACATAATTATGAACAAGATCTCCAAGCACATAATAATTTTTTGTAAACAAAGCCATTAATCTGTAGTTTAATCTGAGAAAACGACCACATAGAAGTTCCAAATCAAACCTAAAGAGAAATATATCCCAATCAAAAAAATTTTAGTAGCTAGTACTCTCCACCAGCAAAATCAACCTATCCAGATACTTTTGAAACTTGTCTAATCTGAAAAAATAACCAATTAGCTTCTCTACAAAAGTTGCTATTGATCCTGGAAAATAAAAATTGAAAATCAGAATTAGAAGTTCCAAATTCAAAAAAAAAACGCCTAGTATCAGATATGTGAATATCTTAATCGCCAAGTTCTAGTAACAACCACAAGCACAAGATCGATTTCAAAAGGAACCTGATCTGAAGCTAGACATCCAATAGAACAAATCTTCAAAATACCCATAAACAAACACTGCAAAAAGCGGTCGAACGGCGATGGTTTTCAATTAAAGGTTGGGTTTCGTTTTCTTCTTTTATTTTCTCTTTTTTGACTTTTGGTGAATTTGATTTTTTATTAAAAAACTAAATGAGATAAAAGGTGAAAAAGAAACGTATAAATAATTGAGAAGATTAGAAGAGAAAGTTTTGTTAGGTGTTGTTAGAAAAAGTGTAGAAAGAGAAAAGGGTATAAAGGACTTAACATACACAAAGAAATGTATGAGAAGCAAAAAGTGTGTTAAAATGTAAGAGAAGCTTAAAAAGTGTGTGTAGTTGTAAATAACTCTAAGATTAACCAATCAGATGACTTACCTTTGGTTGTTGAAAGGGAGATATATATAGAATTTGATAAATGATGGTGATGTAATGCCTTCGGAGAAATTCTGAGAGGGACATGGAGAATGTCACAAGAGGTGTCACAACAAATTATATTTCTCCATGTAATTATATTATTCGATTAGAATTCCATATTCCTCCACTTGGTTCTTCGTTTCGGATTGCTTTACTCATATCACACTATCGTAATTTCCAGCGAAAGAAAACATGTGGATATTTAGAGAAGATTAAAACAAAACTTTTTTCAGTTTATTTTGCTTAATTCTTTGTACTAGGACTCAACTTCTTAGAGCGCCACCGGTTTTTGCAACGATTTTTCACTCTTATTTCTAAACGCATCATACAAAACAATGAAACATTGCTTATTTCCAAGCTCATTATACAAATTCCATATCGTTTCTCTTCCCTTTGATTAAACGTCAACGACTCAACGGTAATACCTTATTATATAGCTTATGTGTCTCTAGATTGGTCCAATGATATTTGGATCTACATGACTACACCGTTGAAATTGATTTAGTTCCTTGCCTTGAAATAGATTAAATGTTATCCACTTATCCTAATGAAAAAATGAATTCATTGACCGGAATAACATTTCTAATTACGGATCTTACCTCTTCGTGCCAAAGAGTGAGTAGGTATGTGATGTGACCAACATAAACCAAATTTATTTTTCTTATTAATGTTGCGAGACTTGGACATTTTAGACTTATTAGTTCAAATATGGGGATACAAATGGCCAAAAGAAGGCATAAACAATTTTCCTATCCAAAAATGGTGCCCTTAGTTTCTTCATTAAATTGTAAAATCTATTTAAAAAGAAAGTTGACTATTTGTTGTGATATAAAAAAGACATTTGACATTTTAAGTGCCACCAAGATTCTGACAAATCGAATTATATCCATGCTAACTAATTGATAGCTTAATTAATAATTGCGCAACATAAAGTGACCAAAATAATTAAGCTACGTATCAGGAGTTGATCAGTGGTCCAATTATCCCACTAAACAAAACCAACTTGTTATGGTATTAAGCCTAATTTGTGTAAAAATCGGTTTAATATTCGGTATAGACTCTAATCTCGATTTGTTCCGGTTTGGTTATCGTGTGTGTGATCGTAACTTGCCGGTGGGTTAGCGACGGACACGTGGGTTGTTGTAATTGTATCACGTGACTCATCGTAACTACCTTTAAATTCGCTACTGTGATTTTCCAGATTCTCATGTACATTTGTTATTTCTTCGGTCTATTTTTGTTATGTTTCCAAAAAAGACATGAATGAAGAAAAATTATTACAGGTTTTTTTCCCTAATCTTATTTAAAATTAATATTTCATTCACTGTGACGTCGGAGAAAATTAAGTGCGGCCAAATTAGTTCTGTTTAAATCAAATCTTCGCTCTTAAGTGGCGTAGAAACCGGTTTAATATGTAAATTAAAACGCGGTTAAGATTAATTTTGGTTATTTTGTGATTAGTGTAACTAATTAATTCAGGTGAATAATTATTAGAAAGAAAAGAAAAAAAACAAGAAAAATATTTTCAGGACAAAAAGGCAAAGCTTTGGTACTGTCTCTTTTCTTCTCCGTCTTCACCATTTCGAAAAATCTCAAAACTTTACAGAGAGAAAGAGAGATCCTTTACATATACTTCACTATCTTCCTAAAAACCCTAATCCTCCGATCTGTTTAACCTCCGATCAAGAACCATCTCCTTTAGATTTCTTCAGTTTTGTATCAGATTCCTTTGGATTCCCCGATTCTTCGTCGTATCGAATCGGGGGATGGCATTTCCGTGAAATCAGTGATGAAATTGGTGGTGAGAAGAAGTTATTTCTATCTATGGGCGTAGTAGCTGAGGTTTGGAGGTCGAGCGTGAGGCTATTAACGAACTCGCCTCAGCCTAACGGTGGCTCTCACAAGAGTGCGTTATGGAAGTGGCGATCTTTCTCTGGTCAGCCCAAAAGAACCGTAATGTGGACATGGGTTTGTGGTTTCATGCTTTTCTCTTTAGGAGTCATCTCTCTCTTCACCGGTCATGTTGTCTCGCACCTTGAGTGGTATTCTCAGCAATTAAGCAAACGAAGCTTACTGGTACCTTTTCCAATTGAAGCTTTTAGCTAACTTAGTGCTTCATTTGTTACTTCTTCTGCTCAAATTTGTAACCAAGTTGCTATTTTGTGTTCTATTTGAGTTTTGAAAATTGGATGTTATTCTTCAGGATATGAGCCGTCGAGAACCAATTGATGTATGGAAGTCAAAATACTCGAAGTTCTTCTATGGATGCAGTGAGAGAGGAAGGAACTTCCCTCGTAAGTCAGATCTTCTTACATGTGTTGTTCTTGCCTCATTGAATAATAAAGTGAAAGTTTTGTCCTTTTTTCCAAATTGATCTTGGATACTAGAAGAAAAAGTCTGTGACTTTATTGATCTTATAGTATATTTGACTTAGCCCGTTTTTTTTAGTTTGGTTAAAAGCACATTTTGCTTCCTGGCAATATAAATTTGGGAATTTGTTGATGTACAAGTGAATTAGGCTTCCAATATTTCTTGTTCTTGTATCATTCAAACTTTGTTGTGTAGATGAATTTTCCTCTCACATTTTTTTTTCCTTCTTGTTTTGGGGTATGCAGCTGCTGTCCAGGAGCACTCGTCTAATGGATATTTGCTTATTGCAGCTAGTGGAGGCCTTAACCAACAAAGAACAGGAGTAAGTAAAATTATGTCTCAAGAATAAATGTGTTAGGATATTCCCGATAGAGTATTCGTAGTTATATTGCTTATTGTCTTTTCTGACCTTACGAGAAACCTGCACTTTTTCGTGTCAATTTTTCATGTTATGTGATATCTTCATTGAAGTCTCTTCTGCTTGATTCGAAAATAAATGTTCTCTTTGTGACAGATAACAGATGCAGTGGTTGTTGCACGGATTCTTAATGCTACTTTAGTTGTACCCGAGTTGGATCACCATTCTTACTGGAAAGATGACAGGTAACTTTAGCAAGTTTTGGCAAGTGACGATCTTCAGTTGCCAAATCATTTACTTATTGAAATGTATCATCTAAATCTGTTTGTAACACAAACATTTACTGAAAAAGTTGCTTTCTTCGCTGTGCAGTGACTTCAGTGACATTTTTGATGTTAACTGGTTCATATCTTCTCTCGCCAAAGATGTGACTATAGTGAAGAGAGTTCCTGACAGAGTCATGCGTGCGATGGAGAAACCTCCTTATACCACACGTGTGCCTCGAAAGTCTACTCTGGAGTATTATCTTGACCAAGTATTGCCAATTCTCTCGAGGAGACATGTAAGACTATGTCAAATACGAATCAAATTGTAATATTTACCTCATTAAATAGAATCATAGGTATTACTATTCATTTAGTTTTATCATCTGATGCCTATATTATACACCAGTTATATTTGTTTTTGCTGTTCCCAAAAGTTCTATGGTTCTGTTTCAGTTTTGTATGGTAGGAGCTAATTCATGTTTGTTGAAATCTTGCAGGTTTTACAATTGACAAAGTTTGACTACAGACTAGCAAATGATCTAGACGAAGACATGCAAAAGTTGCGGTGCAGGGTCAACTATCATGCTTTAAGATTCACAAAGCGGATACAATCAGTTGGGATGAAAGTGGTCAAGAGGATGAGAAAGATGGCCAAACGTTTTATTGCTGTCCACTTGAGGTATATTAAGTTTTTTTGACAAGCCATATTAGATTGTATTCTCTGCTTTTTTCTTAATGGTCTTTCATCTCATATAAGCTTGACATCTTCATCTCCATGTTATGTATGTAATCATACTTTTATGAACTGCAGATTTGAGCCTGACATGCTAGCCTTTTCTGGTTGTGACTTTGGTGGGGGTGAAAAAGAGAGAGCTGAGCTAGCAGAAATAAGAAAACGATGGGACACATTGCCTGTGAGTTCACTATGATCTTTTACATAACTTTCTTAAGTTTCCAAGTTCTCTGCGTTATTCCTCTACCTATGCAATAAACTGAAACTTGATATGTGTGTTTGCGCTTCTTATATTAAGAAATAGGTTTAGATACCTTGTTACATTCATGCTAATATCATATAATAAGACCGTTACACCCAAATTTTCTTTTCTTGTGGAGAAGTTGTTTGGAGTTACCATATCTCACTAGCCAATCACCGCAGGATCTGGACCCTCTGGAAGAAAGAAAGCGTGGGAAATGCCCTCTTACACCTCATGAAGTGGGCTTAATGCTGCGAGCTCTTGGTTTTACAAACGACACATATATCTATGTTGCATCTGGAGAAATATATGGTGGTGAAAAGACACTGAGACCATTGAGAGAGCTGTTTCCAAACTTTTACACCAAGGAAATGCTTGCCAACGATGAGCTCAAGCCTCTGCTTCCCTTTTCTTCACGCCTTGCTGCCATTGACTACATTGTTAGTGACGAAAGTGACGTGTTTATCACTAATAATAATGGAAATATGGCTAAGATTCTTGCAGGCCGAAGGTAAAGATATTTTCTACTTGTCCCCATTAGAGCTTTGCTGTTAAAATATGTTTTCCAGTACGAAACAATAGGAGATAGCCCCCTTAGCAGTCATTACTCTGAACAAAAAAAAAAAGATAAATATATCATTAAAGTCCATCGTTTAGCTATTTTGTCTGACTAAGGGCGACATATAAAGATACTGCTCTGTCTATGCCACATAAGAATTAAGTAAATTTGGTTGAAGCTTATCATATCTACATTGCGCGTCTCATTCACATGTTCTTTCTAGTTGCATTTGCATCAAAATAGATCCACAGGGAATTGTTGGTTATTGTATTACTTGAATGGCCATGCTCATTAACCCACTTAACCCATCAGACATGAGATATTCACTTCTGAGTATGTGATTACAGGAGGTACATGGGGCACAAGAGGACCATCAGGCCAAATGCAAAGAAGCTCAGTGCTT